AAATTGTAGCGTCACTGCAATTATAAACTTTACAAAATAAATGAAAATCATTATATGTTCAACACATCATTTAAATTCTAGCATTATTAATTTTAAACTCTTTCGCTCTTGTCTATATTTATAAACCATACTGAACATAAACACCTCTTAAACCAGTTTCTTGACTGAATTCCGGTGAATATATGAAAACAATTTGTATTTTCCCATTTCAAGTAATTGCTAGCCATCTCTCTGAATAAAAGATTTAATATTTTAGTATCCGATTAATTTGATAAAATAGAAAAACTAACCTCATCATTATAAAAATATATTTTTATAGAAGACTTTGACAATTCCAATTGTTCACCGCCATGAACAACTCTAGTGTCGAACTCGAACATAATTTAGTTTTTTGATGTTTTGTTTGCAGGGAAGTCGGGTTTATTTCAAGCTTATTAGATGGAACATTGCCAATAAGATGATTATGACAAAACAATAATGTGAGTAGTTGTTTTGATCATCTGTTTCTGAAACTTAAAAATAAAAATCCGTTATCGAAATACATATCGAAATACAGTTATCTCATTATTTTATCAGTTTGAAAATTTGAGTGATAATATTAGCTCAAACAAAAAAATTTATTATTAGCTCAAACAGATCAATTCAAACAATGTTAATTTATAATTGACTTTTCCTTGAGAATTTTATCTTGAGAAAAATTTACCTTATGTATTCACATTATATGTATCAAATTATATGCAAATTTAATCAAGTAAGTAATCGAAAATTTGGACCCCTTACTGAATTTCACTTCTTATGTATTTCGCCATATGTTTAGAGCTAATGACGGAAATCAAAAAACTTTGTTATGCACTTATACTACACTGATTAATTCAAATATTATTCTACGCAAGAAAAAAAATTATAATTATTTATTATTATTATTATACTAATGATAAAAGTTTGAATAGTAAGATATACTAATTGCTACAGTATTTTGATCTACGTTTTAGTAATGACAAAATTCATATTTTGAAAAAAATTGGTTAAATAGCTCTAGGAAAATAAAAACTTAAAAACACAACATCTTTCAGCTGGCGAAATACCCAAAAAGTGGAATTAACATTAAGGGGTATTAACTTTTGACCCAAGCTACTCCTGAACATATACTTCAATGCCTAAATATCTCTAAAGCGGACCTCTTTTCAGATCCACTTTTTGTTACAGACTTGCTCAGAGTCTCTGGAGTCATGGACTTGGTTTAGCTCCGCTAACCGTGTGGGCCAGCAACAACAACAGCAACAACAACTTTTGACCGTTGCTCTAAACTAACTATTAAGGCCATTATCGTATTGCATTTTTACAGATTTTATTTAAAGTTAGGCGCTAGAATCATTTAGATTGCACCTTTGTACATTAAAATCTATTTTTTGCACACTGGATACTCATCAGAAATTTTTTTTTTCAAGGCAGTTAAATCAGCATTTGGTTTGAAACTGAAATTTTCTAATTAATAAACTTTACTTCAGAAGGTTTCTTTAAAAAAATTATGACTCTTTTAAGAAGAAATCTTACTATAAATTCGAGGTCTAATTATATTTTGTTGCAGATCAATGTATAGTAAATATTGATTGAAAGATATTTTTTCTCTTTTATTACTATTTAAAAAAGTGTAGCAAGTCCAGAATCATTCCTTTTGAAGCTCCAAGCATTTTTCGTACAAAAGGCACATCAATTTTTTAAAAAAATTATTTCTGCTCTACGAAATTCAATGAAAGTTATTGTTAATAAACGGTGCGAAAGTATCAACGTTATGGTTAGAGAATTACGAAAGTTAGATCATGCTTTAGAAGTTAATACAATATTTAGAGAGCATTAAAGTACGAAATTAAAAAAATAACAGTATGCAAGACTACTGTACGTCCCATTCTCCTATCGAATGCTAGACTAGAAACCTTACCAAGATAAGGTTTGAAAAACAATACTACATACCTGCCAACTTTTAATCCCTTCCATTATTATTTTTCTCAGTGGTATTAAGATGGAATTAAAACTTCAATTTTAAGCAAACAAATACGTTTGCATTTGAAAAAACTTAACTTGATAACCATGACAGTACCGCATATTAATATATGTGCTTAATTTTTGAAAGAATAGTGGTGATCAAAGTCACTTAAAAATTAAGTTTATAAAAGAAAAATAGTATATATTTACTACCACTTTAAATATGAAAAAAATTCAGAATAAAAAGTAATATTTTTAAAAATCACGTTTTTGTAGTGGAGAATAATAATTAAAAAAAAATTTTGAAAAACGAAAAACGTGGGGCGCGTGAAATACATAATAGTAATGTTATATTAGTGTGTGTATGCTCTTGAGAATATGTGTATGTATATCTGTAATTGTATCTGAATGTGGATGTGGAATATATTTGTGCATATGCATATGTATGTGGATGTATATGTGGCTGTGCATGTGTATGAGTAAGAAAATGTGTATATGTATGTGTATATGTACTGTTATGTATTTCATGCGCCCCAAGTTTTTCGTTTTTCAATTTTTTTTAATTATTATTCTCCACTAAAAAAACGTGGTTTTAAAAAATATGACTTTTTATTTTGTATTTTTTTTATTTTAAATTATAATTTTTTTTAATTTTCAATTTTTATTTTATATTTTTTTAAAATTATTACTTTTCAATTATTATTCTTCACTACAAAAAGCGTGGTTTTTAGAAATATATACATTTATCTAGATTATTTTTCTTAATCAAGAGTAGTCAAGACTACTACAAGACCACTACTAAAATAATAGAACTGAGGAAAAACTGGATCCTACCACGTGATTTTTCAGCCAATAAAAATACTCCGACAATAAAAATCTTTTCACCTGACACGTAATACTAATTTGAAATAATGGAATTGACAACAAAAGACAATCGCGAAAAAAAAAATTTTTTTTTAAATTTTAATTTTATTTTACTTTGTATGTCTTTTTTTTCTTCATTTTCATGCATTGTCATCCAATTCTGAACTATGTGCCAAGTTTGAAGTTTGTAGCTGGTCGGGAAGTTAGTTTAAAATCGATTACAAAATTCCACCCGGACAGACATACACGAAGGCAAGTTTATATAAACGTGGTAAAATAAAATAAAATCTTCCGGAAAATCCGGAAGAGTTGGCAGGTATGATACTATACTCCGTTGGAAGTTAAGAAAAGACAATTGCGGCATAGGATTCAAGTAATCATCCGCGACAGCAAATAGTTCCGTTTTATTTCGTTATCAAATTATACAAATATGCTTTCAAAACAACATAAAAGCTTTTGAGAGTTAAACAAATCGGACAGATATTTAATTCGCGTTATCTTTTACGATATATATCTTGCAATTATTTAAAAAAAATTTTATAATTTCGTAGCCTTACTAGAATTCTAGACTTGGCGACGTATTTCAATAAATAAGGAGAGCATTTGTTCTTGAAAAGGAAGCAACTATATAACGGTGCCACTATTGGATTTAATTGAACCACTAAAAATGACTCGTCTCATGTTGACATGCTCTTGTCAAATCAAATGCGAGATAAAGAATTTTTACTTTTGTTTCGCTGTAGAAAAAAATCGTCTACAAGAAGCGATATTTATTATTCCTTCATCAGCTTCTTTAAATGCAAACGGAAAGATGTATATTAGTTACTATTTTTAGATATCAATTGTATTAATTCTTATTACTTGTTAATTGATTATTGTTGATAATAACTGTTATTATTATTAAAAAGAAAGCAAACAAAAAGGTGGCTGTGCAACATCATTTCAATAGTTAGCGATATTAATATTCATTCTCGCTGGGAACTTGTCATCCATTTGGCGTACACTTAGATGCAAACAGGCTCCTTCCATAGGGATAATGGTTTTTTATTAACTTACAACAGAGTATAAGAATCTTCTCGCCCAATATTATCCCAAGTAAAATTTTTTTTAACTAATGCTAATATCAAATTTATTCATGAGGAAATCGTAAAACATAGATTTAGATGACTTGGCCATATACTAAAGACAACCAGATTCAATCCTGCAAATGCTGCCAGCCCATGGGCGCGTGACGAAAAAAGAAAGAGTGAAAGCCAAGATGGAAAAGATGTATAAGAAAAGATCTCGGCAAAGACAGGATTGGCAGGATGAGAGAAGTGCGTTGCTTATTCAAAGACAGGAGTTCTTGATGGAAGAGACTTGAGGCCTTATATTTTAGTTCGGCAGGAAGTATATATAGGTAATAATGAGCTGTGTGAAATAGGAATCACTCAAGGATTCAAATAAACTGGAGTTGAAAATAGCTTAATTTGCTATTTCTGCTTCAATTTGCTGGAGCTAAATTTGATCCGAACCCAAGAAACAGAGAACTCTTTAGTCTCTCACTCTTTTTTTAATTCCCTCAGCGAATAATTTTTAACTAACCTACATTTGCATTACGTAAAAAAATATTAACAAGTTTATTAATAAGCAAGGACATCTCATTCATATGATTCTACACAGGATGTCCGAGAGAGTGTAGAATCCATATTATTTTTAAGAGAGCCTTTAAGACCAAAACATAAAGAAATAGTAACTAGTATATTTATAAGTACGGACATCTCATTCATATGATTCTACACAGGATGTCCGGGAGAAAGTAGAATTCATATTATTTTTAAAGAGGACCTTTAAAAACAATACACATAAAAAAAATATTAACTAGTTTATGAATAAGTAAGGACATTGCATTCATATAATTCTTCACAGGATGTCCGGGAGAGTGTAGAATCCATTTTAATTTTAAAGAGAACCTTAAAAAACAATGCATAACGAAATAGTAACTAGTTTATTAATAAGTAAGGATACATCTCATTCATATGATTCTACACAGGATATCCGAGAGAAAGTAGAATCCATATTATTTTTAAAGAGGACCTATAAAAACCTTAAAACGTAGTTGAAGCGACTCTAATTACAGAGGGTTTCTAATAAGCAAGTAACAAACTACCTAGTATCATTTAATAAATTTATTTCATGTATGGTGAATAAGAATAAAGCAAACATCGATGAATTAATACAAAATAGTTTTATTTATGCTCTCAAAGCTCGATCGAGGTCATTGATCAAGTCTTTGACTGATTCCAAGCCAACAGACAATCTTATTAAGTTTTCTGGAATACCCATTTCGGCTCTTTTTTCCTTTGTGACGCAGCCAGCAGTCATCAACGATCTGAATTTAGAAAATTTCTTTTTACAACTTCGAATTTAAGTAAACTTAATAAAAATGAATAAGCTTTAAATGTATCCTCGGTATACAGACAAGTGACTAAAATAATATAATGTATGGTGCGGCTTTGAGGAGAAGTCCTCCAGACTGAAAATCTGAGGCTGTCTGCGGCTATGATAACAAGCGAAAGTTACTCATGACGACCTACGCTAGGATAAAGACAAAACTATTCAATCCACACCCCTATTCGAAGTGATCTTTCCTCGTAACTATAGTACCCGCCGCGAAGCGAGACGGGTGTCTGGAGGAGTTCTCCTCAAAGCCACACTATATGCAAAGTGCTTAATTGCCTGCTATCTTTTTGAGAAAAATGACCCTAGTCAATATTCCTTTTTGAATAAAATAGCTCTAGTCAACAAAAGATAGCTGATTTCCATTTTGGGGGAAAAAAAGTATGAGTCACTATACATTGCTGCTAGGGGAAAAGGAGCCCTTGTCAACATTGATAGCTTTTGACTGAATACCCATACAATATTCATTTTTATTTTTACCTAAAATTGGTCACAGACAATTAAACGACTTACGAACATTATCTCATTTTTCACAATTATTGTGTCACTTTTAGCAGTAACACATATTTAAAGGTAAACTTTAAATATGTGTTACTTGTATAGGTGTATAAGAATTTTTTACAAATACTTTTATAAGAATACGCATTTTTAATAGTAAATTTATTGATATTTGCATTCTTCTTCTTTTATATTAATGGATATTTTGCATTGTTTGAAGTAGTTAAAGAAATAAACTATAAAAACATAATTAATGGCTTGGTCGATAATAGGAAAATTCTGTTTGAAGACACATATAAGATGTTCCATAATCATTGCCCAAAATATATTTTTCAAAATCCTAATTAAAGATGAAGTAAAAAGGGTGCACATTTGGAATCGCAAGTTTATACTTAAACGAGGGTAAAACAAAAAACCCATCTAAATTTGATTAATCTCTATTTTAGAAAAATGAGCAAATGATAAGCAGCTTGATAGTATTTATAAAATATGCTTTTCAACTCATCCCTTTTTCTTCAAAAAGTCAAGAAAGTTTTGATGCTTTTAATCCCATCTTCTGTAATCTTGCTTCGTCAGACATACTTATTTTTTTTATTTTTTGCTTCTTCTCTCTTAAATATTCATTTTTGATGCCTATTTGTACAGATATTTCTTACTTCATTTTTTAAGGGATCCTAAAAATATGTATTGAAGGCAATCATTACAATACAACTTGTTGCCAAAATTAATGAAGTTATGTGTTTTGGATACATTGAAATATCGTGCGTTTTTGCAATTCATTTATGTATATAAAACTAGATAATTGCCGTGCAAGCTATATACTGGAGATTGGATTTTTTTTAATATATTTAACAGGAAATATATAACGCTTTCGCCTATTTTATATTTTTAGAACTTCTGTAAAAATAGCGAAATCAGGATATATTCATCATCAAGATTTACAGTGGAAAAAAATAAATGTTATCAAAATTATTTGCATAAAAAAATAATTATTTTATCAAAATCTGATAAGTCATGATAGTGTAAAGGAGAATCACACCATTGATAGAATTTATATCATCACACGACAAAAAAAAAATTACGTTTCTTATAGAATTAATATTTTAAAAACATAATTCTGGTGATAAAACTAATATGGTATGGTGAACAAATATGTATAAAGCACTCAACTAATGGAACCTACAAATAAATTTGTTCTTATGATCAAAATTTTACTTTTCTCTGTGAATTTTTCAAACTAGGATAAATTATTTTAATTATTTATGAGTCTATTAAATATTAATTTGTGATAAATTTGTAAGGGCTCTAAGCTCTTTATGTTTTGCAACTATTCTAAAATTTCATGTCTTGGAACATTTTTTTTTTGTGAGAAACTAAAAGAAAAAAAACCGCTTACGACACATCCATCAGACTCTCTGATGACCCTAAACTGACAGCAAGTATAAATATCTTGATATTGACTGCCACTTTCCTCGCCTTTTCAATGCCTCCTTTCACACAAAACGACACCATTCCGCCAAATCCTTTACATTGCTTCAGAGCAAGTTCATGCTGGGGATGACTTTTCAGACCTTCAAGAAATATTCACTTAATAAGAGTTCGCAAAGTAGAAGGTATGAAAGCATTATATGAATCATAAAATAATCGTGATTTATAAAAGTTACCAAAATCGAAATGATAGTTTATTGATGCCAAAGCTCTCTGAAATGGAAAATAACTATCACAAATATTTTTATGGAGGTTAATCCTGGAATATTTGTAAAGGTATTGAAGTACTAATTTTTCCAAAAAAAGATTTTTAGAAACTTTTAGGATATTTCGACAAAACCGAAAGCTTCAACGTTTTTTAAGTTGTAGGATTCCAACTAAAATTATTTAAAATCATTTTATTAATCGGGATTTTTTTATTCCAAATCCAGTCATTTGTAAAACAGGTGGCTTAATTTTAGAGTTGTGAATTTTAAGTTATTAAGTTACAATTATTGTGAATTCTAAGTATAGAATAATAATCATTAGAAAACTTCTTGACTGAGATTTTTTTTTTAATCTTTTGAAATGTCTATGTTTTAATACATAGAATTATAAATAAATTACTGTATTTTAATCGGTGTAAAGGTAGACCTAATAACTCAGATTTATTATAATAAAAAAGCGCAAAGCAAGATGATATATATATATATATATATATCACGGGACAAGACAGTCCTAATCCAATGAAACCATATCTGTCCTCCTTGTCCCTGTCTAAAAGGAGGAATGAAGAAATAAAGGGCAAATTTGGATTGGAAAAAAATCAAAACCTATTCATTTGTCGAAGAAAACCGAAAAGGGATTGATTATTCGAAACACTTCCAAGTTTCTTCAAACATAATTACTCTAATAATATAGCAAACCACTGTATTATGGATTCACGTGTGGTAAAATATACATGACTATACTTTTTTTGACTTCACTTTAGAAAAAAAGTGTTTAAAACATAGAAAGGTCTATTATAAAGAATTATGTATTGTATATATGGTCAGATAAATAATAGCTCTTAATAGAAACCTGGATAGAACACTTTCTCTACATTTGGATGTTGTTCCAAGAAATATGCAATTTGAGAAGCATTTTCCATGTGACGTTCCATTCTCAAATGTAATGTTTTAAGCCCTCTCAACACCAGATAACAATCCAAAGGAGAAGGCAAGGATCCTATAACTGGAAAAAAGAAAGAAAGAAATTTGTAATGAAAAAAGAAAGATAAAAAAAAAAGAAATTTTTTAATCCCTGCGTTACTTCTAAACAACACAAATTCCATGGATAATCCTAAATTTGTTTTTGTTTGACAGGAATTTTTTTTAATTTTTCAACTAACATTGCAGCACTGCTTTTCTGTTAACTAACTTTTTCCATTATATTTTCCATGTTAATGAAAAAATATCAGTGAAGAAAAATCGATATTCAAAGGTTGGCTGGTGATATAAAACAATTTAAGCCTTCTTTTCATTTGCATTTGTTGTTGTTTTTTTCTAGTTCTACGGCTTGACGAGTTTTTTTAGTTTATTTACAAAGTTCTACAAAAATAATGATACACCCTTACGTTACTCAAATGATAAAAAAAAATAATATTGCGTTATTGTTTGAAAACAACAACTTTGTATCTGCTAAAGGGAGTTTCAAAAATAAGAATTAGTGCTTAAAAGAAATTGTTTTTTTAAAAAAAATTGTAACAAATAAATACAGAACTAAAAAAAAATCCCATTACAAAATTGATTAAAGGTTGTTCATTTTTAGGACTTTTAAATTATTTCTAAACTGGAAAAGAATAACGTTCTTTTTGATTGGCGCTCTCACTTCACCCTTGTTTACAGGAAGCCATTTTTTCCCTGTCTGAATTTGGGTGCTCTTTGTTTGGCCGCAGAAATAAGCTGGGATGTACGATCGTAAAAGTGTGTTGAATATGAACATTAAAATATGATTGCCTCAATTTTTTTTCTTTTTTTGTTAGTGGACATAACTATTCAAATAAGTTTCATCAAATCGGCATTTCTATCAAAGGTGCTTGGTGAGGCGCAAGCGCATTGTTGAAATTCAAAATAAAGTGAAAGTGAAATAAATGCATTAACTGTGTTGAAACATTACTTCCTTGCTTAATCCATTACTTAATTTTCATTAAGCCAATTTTTTTTTTGAATTTTATTAATGTTAATAATATTTACTATATCCGTCATTACATTCTGATTTGTTGCATAAATATTTCAACATTTAAAAGATTAATGCATTTTGCAAATATTTTATGAACTAGAGCCGGGTTTTTCAAGCATTCATCCCATTCAAGTCACTTTTTAATGACTCCTAAACTACACCACCTATAATTATCAATTTTTTTAATAAAATAGAAAAGAAAATTTACGCTCTGCTGATTCCTTGAGTTTTGCATAATATTCTTCACTGCCTGTAGCTGCAGCGCCCATTAATACATCTCCATGACCTGAATAAATCATTTTATAACTCGTTAAGAACATAAATAGTAGTTAATTATAGTTGTTACAAATAAATATTATCTGTGACAAATTATATTATGTATATATTAAACAAGTATTATATTTATATATAAATATTATTTATTTATTTATTTTTTTGTCATATGCCTGTTTAGGCAGTGGTGGTGCGATTGTTCCTGTTTTTCAGTGGCGCCATTATGGAAAGGAATTCGACTTCTGCCACGCCATTCACACAACCACAACCCGTTAATAGGGCGGGTCACATTCTCACACAAAGGAGAAAGGACATAGAACACAGAGAGAGAGAAAGAAACAACCATGGCTTGCCCGGGATTCGAACCCAGGATCTTTCTGATGCAAGGACAGTTCCATGCCTCCTACACAGGCTGGTCGGCAAATATTATTTATAAATATTATATATAAATATTATATTTATATTTGCATTTATAACTGTCATTGAACCGCCGACCCAATTTTGGGTTTACGACTACTAATGTTCAACTAGCCTTGCAATTTTGAACCCAATCCAGAAGACAAGGGAACACCTGGATCAAGCATCGAGAGATATTTGTCTTCGTGGAGGACTTTTCTGATGGAACTAACCCGTATTTGCGTTAAATGGAGAGGAAATCAGCGAATACTTCCCACGGTTAGCCAGATGGCAAGGGGACTCTAAACCCTGATCCGTCTACCACTAAGGATATTTTACTGTGGTCGGTGCAAGCCGAATGCGGAATTCGTGTCGACCAGCCGTCGCTGGGATTCGAACCTGGTTCACCTCATTGGTGAGGCGAACGCTCTATCCACTGAGCCATTGCGGCTTCTATAAATATTATATGTAAATAAAATAGTTGATTTATATAAATATTTATATTATACTTTCTTAATACTTTACAGATCGAACAAATTGCACCTAGGATATTTTTTTAAAGTTACATCTAACTATTGCCAAATGGGGAATTCACCTGGATCAGTTGGTAAAGTGTTAATAAAAAAGTTTTAATAAAAAATTTTTAATAAAAAAGGTTTAATAAAAAAGTTATAAAAAATAAAGTTTAAAAAAATAGAACATAATAAACTAACAAAACATCAAATACGACAATTATGTTTCAAAAATAGTTTATCGCAGAAAAATATAGCATAGCTTATTCTATTAGAATCAGAATTAATTTTGAACAACGAAAATGTAACATTTTTATATTACAGAAACTTTTTATTGTATTTTAAATGCTTTTATGGCATTTCATAATAAATAAAAGGTTTTAATAGATTTTGCCAAAGAAGAACATCTTTTTTAAGGACTTGATAAAAATACTTCTGAATTGTTTCCGAACTTAGAAATATTTCCGAAATCAAGATTTCTTATGTTTATACAAAGTGTTTGCAAATATAGAAATGATGAGATATCTCGACAAGTAAACACCTAAAATTACTCGAGGAATATATTTTTTGAAGATGCAATCGATGATAACAAACTTGACCCCGAATTTCCCTCTCGGGTAACGTGAAATTCTGTTAGAACCCCTATTTTTTATTGCAGATTACGGTTTTCCAGAAGAAAGTATCCCAATTTGATTCACAGATGGCGCTGTAATCAATTAAAACGATGCACAAATTGTTTACAGCGAATACTCGAAAACGCATGTCAGTTCGAAAAATAAAAATACACGCGTTTGGTATTTTTTGAAAAATTAATCTAAAGAAACCAAACTTCGGCCCCTACTGTCATCCCCTGATTTTAGATTGAATCTCAGAGGGTGGAAGATGAGTTTGGTGTCATTAGATAAGTTTTTAAAAAAGTATCAAACATGCCAAAAAAAAAAAACCTTTCATTCAAATCCGGTTCCTTTTTACTGGAAAATACAAAACTGCAATAAAAAACGGGGATTCTCATTTCATATTTTTTATTACAGTTTGATATCATTAAATACATCACTTCATTATATTTCAAAAGTTTTACACTTCATTCCAGGGAGTATTTTTCACCATATTTAACAATTTATATTTCTCACGATATTTTAATGATTACTTTTATTACACCCTGTATATGCTATCTTCTGCGTTTGATGAAAAAGATCTTTCTTAAACTTACCATTCATGTATTTTGTTAAAGAATGCATAGCAATATCGGCTCCCAGTAGGAGTGGATTCTGCAATGAAAATTGAAATACACACTATATTCAATCTACTATAATAACGTATATAAAAACACCCTGCCGAAATTGAAATAATATTTCTTTTAAAAATATTTATCTATACTGTTTAACAATTAGTAATAATGTAATATAATTTTAAAATAGAACATAAGTTCAATAATAATTATATCAACATTGTTTCATATAGGGGACAGGGAAGTGATTATGAGACTAGAGTGGTCATCTTGAATAACCTTATTTTGATTGGTCAAACTTTCTGTGTGAGATATCATAGATCGGACTCACTGATGTACAGTGCGCGAAAAAAAAGAAGAAAAAAAACGGACCACAGCGAATAACTTCCGATCAAATGATCAGATCTTCACGTTCTGTAACTCAATCTTAATGGCTCAAGGATTTGACTTCAAATATGCTAATTATTAAATGCAGTTGATGTTTAGAAATACGAAATCAGACACAAAAACATACTTTCTCTGAATACCTTTTTTTGACCGATTAAGAATTCTGACCCCCATAATATAGGGGGTAACCGCAGTGTGGGAAATATGATCCTAATTATGTTTGATCAGGTCCTAAGTTTGGAATCCTTAATGTTAATTTTACTTTTAGCTTATTTCGTTATAACTCAAGAATTTTTCAAGCGAATTGAAAAAATTTTGCACATAATTATAAAATTTAATTATCCAAAAATAATTCTATGCAAAAAATAACTTTTATTAGATATTTATTATTTTTTATTATTTTAGTTAATATTAGCTGAAAAATTGCAAAGCATAGAAATTTTTTAATTATTTTAAAGAATATAGTTTTATAAGGCAAAATACGAACTTTGAACGAAATCGGTTAAATAGTTCCTGAGAAATAAAATTTCAAAAAAATTAAAATTCAATTTCTCAGGAACTTTTCTATCGATTTTACTCAAATTTTGCATTTTGCCATAAAATTTCAATTCTTTAAAATGATGTTTAAAAATTTTATTCCTTACAATTCAAAAGTTTTTCGATCATAACTAAATAAATAATAAAAAATAATAAATATTCAATAAAAGTTATTTTTTAATGGAAATGTCTTTGGATAAAGAAATTTTATAATTGTGTGCAAAAATTTTGCAATTTGATTGAAAAGTTCTCCAGATATAACGAAATACGCTAAAAATCAAATTAACATTAAGGGGCCCAAAATAGCTCTCTTGACCAAATTACGGGGACCATATTTCCCAAACTGCGCTACCCCCTATATTTCGGAGATCAGAAATCCGATTACGTCAAAAAAAGTTATGTTTATTCAAAGAAAGTAATTTTTTGTATCTGATTTCGTAACTTAAAATATCAATTGCACTAATTAATTAACAATCATATTTGAGGTCACCCCTTGAATAATTAAGATTGAGTTCTAGAACGTGTAGATCCAATCATTATATCAAAAGTTATTCATGGTGGTCATTTTTTTTTTACTATACGCACTGTTCACTTCTATGTGCAGTTACATATAATTACACTATTAATACTTTGGTAGAAATTTATAAAAGAACTATTTTAGGGTGCAAAAGTAAATTTTAAATTTTCTCTTTATTTTTTTATTAGCACATTTTATTTTGTCAGAATTTAAAAAAAGGTGATTGTATGTTATAAATATAATTGTTTTTTTTTTTTTTTTTTACTTTTTTTAATATTATCCTTTGCTTCGTATAGTTTCAGTTTACCAGCATTAGAGCATAAGCAAGCACACGCCATTGCGTGTTCTACTGTAGACACATGGTGGTGGGGAAAATGTGAACCTGCCCACACTGGCCCATGCAGCACATTCAACATCCAATGGATGAAATATGAATTAGTTACAAATGTAACACATTTGACGATATTTATATTCTAAATTAGAAAATTCTGTAGAATGATGTATCTTAATAAATTGTCGTTTTAACCTCAAGTAAATAACTTAGCACAAAACTTTTATATAAATCCACTTTCTAAAGATTTTGTTAAGAATTCAACGATGTTTTATCAAGTTTGTTAAAAAATCACATTTCAAAATTGATTAGTTAAATTAGACAAAAAAAAATTCATGTGCAGGTGGGTTCAAAAATTTCTGTTAACCCCTTCCTTCTCGCTCCCGTGAAAATGACGGGGTGAAATTTCGCCCGCTATTTCTCGCTCCCGTGATATTGACGGGCTGGAGTGTTCAGTAGTAACGAGCCAATAAGAATAAAACTAATTCATTTCTTTTGCCCGGAAAACATTTTATTTCTAATTTTACACACCTAATGGCAGTACCAGGATATTTTTAAGGTAATTGTAGATAGCTAGTTTGTTTTAAACTAGTTGCAGCATTAATCAAATACGTAATACAAATACAAAAGCCAAAAAAATAGGCACTTTTATGATCGTTTTCTTGAAAATTAACAGATCGTTAAGGGGTTAAAAATGTAAGGCATGTATTGGAAACCTAAATAAGCATATCTCATATAGAAATGTGTTTGAGAAAGTACTTTGTTGTGCCAGTAGAGAGCACTGTTGCTTACTAAAGTGTGATACTCCAGGCGCCATCTTATTTCCCTTCTGTTCAAATATTTCGATTTTCTTAAAAAATCCTCGAGATATGGTGAAATATGCAAAAAGTAAAATTAACATGAAGGAGTCTTATTTTTCGACCTTCGTCCTAAACAAACTATTGAAACCATATTTTCGATATTCAAGGAATTGTAATAACGTTCGATTGGAATGAAGTTATATTTAATCAGAAAAAGTCCGTTTTTATGTTTGATTCCGTAACTTAAAATATTGTCTGCTCTAATAATCTTATTTAACTCTAGCCCCTTCAACCCTTAACATTTAGTCTTAGTGCATAAAAATCCAATCAGAACTTATTCAGGGTGTTCAATTTTACATTTTTGCTCACAATTCAAAATCATATACACATTTTTTATGTTATGAATCACTATTTACATGTTACATTAAACATTTTTTGAAGTTTAAAATAAATACAACCCCACAAACTTTTTCGAATTACTAGGTACTATGCTAAATCGTTCCATCATTTAAATGTTAGTAAATATTATCACAGAGCTGAACATCATTCAGGTTACAGAAAATTTAAAGTGTAATAATCTTTCCCTAATTCCACATAATAGTAATTATTACTCGGTGAAGTGTGATTTTCGAGACAAATTTGACATTTACCTGACAATAGGGGGACATAAATGTATTGTCCACTACCAGAAATGCTTTAGATTGAGTTTTTACTATGTGAGCAACAGCAGCTATATCCACTAGTTTCATTGTTGGATTGCATGGTGTTTCAATCCATACCATCTAGAGAAAAAATATATATTTTAGTACATAAAAATAATTAAATTAATGTTAATTATTTATCTATCGAAACATACATTTTCGAGAATAATTCATAATCTTGAATAAAAACGTAGGATCATTATAAAAAGAATGTTTCGTTTCAATCACGTGGAGGTACTGTTGAAGTTTGTAAAAATAATCATATCAGATGGATACAAAATATGAAGCTTCTTATCGTGTATTTTTTACATTCAAGTACTTTACTTGTTTGACATTTGTACTTTATCCTACATTTTTCTTAGTTTTGATCTATCTACAATTTTTATGGCAGAAATCTAACCCAATCAAATTATCTAAATTTTTGTTTATATCTGTACACGTCTTTCAGATTTTATGAACTTAGTAATTAAATTCAAATATGTTTTCAGAAATGTGCGTATGGCTCATAAATCTAATTTTGGCAAAAATCTTTTTAAACTAAAAAAAAAACAAAAAAAAAAAGTAAAAATAGCCATTTGTCAAATTTTTTACAAACGCAAAATGATACAAGAAAATAATTAAGAAAGAGGCCATTTGACTTGTAATCCTTCAACAGTGTGATTAAAACGAATAAGTATTTATGATAATTAGTCCCTAATAATAAGAGTTAAAATTTTAGTACTTCCATAATAATGCGCAACTATAGAACTTTAAATTATGCTTACTAAAGCATTATGTTATACTTTTTATTAGTTGAAGCAAATTTCCACTTGGATTCATGCAAGTGACGTCATCGTAGGTAAATCATGGCGTTTGTCGATTCATAACCAATCAGGTTCAATACAAACACGTGACGTCATACAGGTATCCAATTAAATCTGGTTAAAATCACGTGGTTAGACATAATGACTTCACTTCTTCTCGAGTTACAAGTACCTGATTTCCCCTTACCTATCGAAACGTACTTAGATAATAAAAAGATCATGGCACCTTTGGTCGCATGGTTTTTTTTGTTTTTTTTTTAAACTAATTCTTTTCAAAAAGTGTTTTAGTTCTTATTCAAAGTTTTATTAGTTCTTATTTAGTTCTTGTTAGTTTTTATTTAGTTCTTATTAAAACAAAGAACAATTATTGAATTTCCATTGTCAAAAGAATAAGAAAAATCTAGCTTTATTTTTTTTTTTTAAATTACAATATAAAATATACAGAATTTGTTTTTATTTTATTATTTAAATTGGTGAAGGTTATTAACAGTACAAATAAATAATTATATATTTATTTGCTTTGAATCCTTAGTCCCAATAAACATTACCTTGGTGTTTTTTCGTAAGTACTTCTTAAGATCATCTGCTTCCCGAAGATCCGCAAATGTCACATCAATTTCTCCAAGTGATTCTCGAATGCTTAGCATAGTTCTTGTACCTGCATTTATTTATTTGTCATTAAATGATAGCTTTCTACAGATTAAATAAATTTTGAATAATTTTTTTAAATAGTAATAATTTTCTAAAATTCGTTAAAATTTGGCCTCCGCTGTTAACATTATATTATATTTCATATCATCAGTGTTTTTATAATACTGTAAAATTTGCACTGTTATGTCGTGATATCAGATAAAATTGCAATAGCCTTGGTATTCTTTAAGTCGATATTTGAGTGCTCATTCGGTTTGTCCTATGTATAACTGTCAAATTGGCAAGAAATTTTGTATATTCCCCAGTTATTAAGGCATTCAATTGGTTGTTTAGGGTCCGAGAAACTGATTTAATTTTATCTGATTAATTTGAAATCAGTTTCTCAAACCCGTAGCAACTAATTGAACACACACATGGGTCACAGAGTCCTCCATGCTCCCATAACAAATTTTACGTCTCGGGGTAATTGAAGATTGATCGTTTTCTGTTTCAGGTCAAAATTGCGATCTGTGGATGAATGAATGCATGTATCAATGGGTTCGCCCTATAAACGGGTGTGGCAGAAGTTGAATTCTTGGCCATAGATGGCGCCACTAGAAAACAAGAACAATCACACTCCTTGCCTTAATGGACTACGACAACAGCAACAATAACTGAAGAATATACAAAATTCCATGCCGATGTAGACTGTCATGCGCGTTGTTGTTGTTACTTATCTCCAAAGGTCTGACGGCGTCAGATCAGATCCATAAATCCGTTGATGAGTAAAAAGTCGGAAACAAGGCGGGGAGAAGCGTAAATTTCTTCCCGAAGAAGTTCCAAGCAGCTTAAAACTGTTCAGCTGAAGCCTGATGTTGGTGGCATTTTGGGCAAAGAGGGTAGGATTTTATACCCTGATAAAAAGTAAGGCATTTTAGATGTCCACTGGCAAGGCGTGAAAGCCAAGTATTGATTTTTCTGTCGCATGGAAGAATCAACGAGCGTCCTGGCTTACTAGCTTTTTTAAAATTGTCATGCTTGAGGCAAACCAAACGAGCACTCAAACATCGGCTCAAAGAACACCAAGGCTAGGTCGTTGACCAAGAACTCAATCGTTCATCCATCGAGAAACATTACTGGACAAAAAGCCATAGGTACGAGTTTTCTGCACTTCATGTCATCCATAAATGTATTTCAGTAGTTGGCCTGGATTTTTGGGAGAGTTACTACATCATCAAAAACTCTATTGCGAATGATCTGGCCTCTGAATCATATTTGTTTACATATGGAAATCAATAATTTTTAAATTTTTGAATTCTCTGAGTGGCAGAAATTTTTTTCTTAAAGGGATCAAATAAACAATCTGGGAGATAATGCCTGTGATGCTTAACTATATGTGGTATTAAATACTACTGCTATTGACGTTATAGATACTTTGGTAATGAGTGCCCATTATACCGATCAAGTAGCCTATTATAGTAATACATTGCTAAAAAGCGGATAAGTACCCCGACATCACCATACTACACAACAAACATACATATATAACCGTTATTTTTAGTAATTTGTTGTTTCGCTGCGACTTCGTGCTAATTTCCATTATTTAAGTTTATAGAGACACGTTTAAAAAAAATATGCGTATCAATATAAGAAGCACGTGGCTTCATGTACCTTTTAAAATACAAAATACGATTTCCGTGACGTCATCACCATACTTCGCGAATTCATTCTGTGGAACAACGAATATTTCTAATGTTAGAATTTCACCGAGTGAATCATAGTGTTGTGAAAACCCAGCGAAGTTTGCCACAAAAATTTAATGCGACTAAAGAAACGGCGAAGAACGCAATTAGTGGTCTATTTCAAAATTTTGCAACTATTTTTAGCAATATGGTGTATTTTTCAAAATTTATTGCTTTTCTAATAACAGTGCCGAAAGAGACACCTTTTTATCTCAAACTAAATGGGTCAGTCATTTAGTGGACATCCTGTATACAAATACACATAAACATTTTGTTTTATTTACATAGATAATGAGACAAAAAATTTTATTTGCTGTGGTCAGTAATATGGTGAAATCATAGTCAAACAGTCAAATGATAGTGATCATTGTCATCAAAAATAAAACTCCAGTTAAAACTTGACAATTTTATCTAGTGAAAAACATCATCGAAGTTTCTATTAACGATAATTTTCACTAAATGATAATCTGTCAATAAAGTTTCATTGTTAGCTGTCAGAAACGAGAATAATCTTGCGATATCATTTAACAAAAAGCTTTAATTAAATTTTGAGTGATATAGCTAGTCTTTAAAATGGTCGGAAACTTTATTGTTGTTAAATTCCTATTAACGACAATATCGTGAGATATTCTGTTTGCATCAGCCAGGAAGCATTAGGAATTTTACATTGTCTTCAGGCCTAAAGCTCTAGTAGACATTTGAGGGTTCTAGCTAATCAGGAAAGTGGTCGAAAATTTGATTGAAATATTCCATTATAACAAATACGAACGCGATTTAATAAAACCGAAGTAAAAAATAGAGAATATAGGCGTCAAGATAGAAAATGTCCTTGCATCAGAAAGGTCCTTGGGTTAGAATCCCGGGCAAGGCATGGATGTTTCTTTCTCTCTCTGTGTATTCTATGTCCTTTCTCCTTTGTGTGTGAATGTGACCCGCCCTATAAACGGGTTGTGGTGGTGTGAATGGCGGTGCAGAAGTCGAATTCCTGGCCATAGATGGCGCCACTGAAAAACAGGAACAATCGCACCCTCACTGCCTAAACAGGCATACGACAAAAAAAAAATGTAGAAAATGTGTTTTATTACCGTGATACACTGAATCAAATAAAACTACATGGTCACCAATTTCCAACAATTGTGATATGGAAGTAACAGCAGCTATCCCAGACGAGAAGCATAACGCTGAAATTGAAAAATGAAATTTAAAAAAAAAACATTAAATGATGTTTGATGTTCCTTACATATTTAAAGACGAAATTAATGTATACTTATGCATTTTAAAAATATACATAATGTATATTTTTAGTTATCGATGGGTTTGTTTATCATTCAATTTCAGTTTTAATCGTATATATTAACTTTTTTTTATTAAAATTAAAAAATAATGAAATAAATCCAAGCTTGCTGCATAGTATTTTTATCTTTATAAAACAAAGAAATTGGGCAATATTATTACGAGCCATAATTTGAAATAATTATTAACGCGTTAAAAAGCTTCCAAAAATAATGATAAAAAGTACATCGAAAAATTTTATGTAAAAGAGAAAATAATTATAAAATAAAAATGGAGGAATATTATGTTTGACAAATTAATAATGTTTTATAAATGCTGTCGGACGACAATAAGGTAATATGAAATATTATTTCCACAAGTGAATTTTATTTTACATAAATAAGTATGCTGTTGTAATATTGTATTATAGTAGTATTTTTAATGATTATTTTTTTTAAATTTGGGTAGTTCCTTGAATGTGTGTAGCTTTAAAGCGCCATCGGATGAATACAATTAAAATCATTTTTTCATTCTCTTCAACATTTTTTTGTATAGTTAATTTTTTTATAACAAAAAATATTTTATATTTGAAAACATTTCTATGAAAAAACATTTCATTTAAAAACAGTTCACTCATGTTTCTGAAATGTTTCGCAAGCATTACGTTAGCTCTTCCAATGGTTTCAAGTATGATGACGTAAAAACTAATAACCAAGCAAACAATAAAAATTTTGAAAATAGGTTGCCCATGTGAGATGAAGCTTAGGGTAGACGTCAGAAAAAAATATGGATATTTGTGGGGTGTTCGGAGAAAGTTGTTGACAAACTATGTATAAAAGTAATATTGAGTACGCATTAATATTTAATTAATTATTCGGGTTTGTTAAATTAAAATATGTTTAAATTGTTATGTTATTAAAATTCCCTGCTCCTTTTTCTAAAGAAAAAGTAACTTCTTATAGATGATAAGAAAATAATGCAATATCCTTTTTATGGGTTTAAACGTTAAAAAACAGCATGATCTTCGCATAGATTTAAAAAATTTAGACTTCTTATCATAGGGCATCACTAAATGGTTGATATATTAACTTTCTAACTAACTTCTAACTTTAACTTCATCAAACAGGTATTTCCTTTGTTTCAAAATATTTCAGCAAAATATCTGACCTTCTCTTCGAATATTTTTCGCACAATATGCCTTTGATTTTCATCAACATATTTTATCCTATTTCCACTTAATACAAATAAAAAGTTCCGACGATTCGATAATAAAATCAAGGAAGAAACCTGTAAAAATAATTAAAATAATTTTTTCTCATCTTAAAGTTTTAAAATATTTACCGTATTTTGCATGTTCCAATGACGCTATGCATTTTTCCAACCTTTGTTTGGAAGGATTACTAATGGCCGAAATCTGCAAAGAAACAATTTTTCATGCCTGAAATTTATAAAAAAATCTGTCTACTTGTTATGAAAAATCTACATGTATTTTTTTTATTTTATAAAGTGCTATTTTCATATTTTTTTGTGTTTTTCATCCCTTTCAAAAATTGTCAGTATTGATCAAAATATCGACACTTATGATTATTGATATTTGCTTTCGAAATGCAAAAAAGATTAACGGCTTTAAACACTGCATTTACAAAATATTCTGAACAAATATAATTCAATATCTTAGAAATGATATATTTTCAGAAGTTTTTAGCGATGTTAATAATAGAATAGACTATAAATGTTGTTCCGTTCCATCACTAATAACTAAAATAGCTTAAAAATAATAATAAACAAGAAAACAAAGTGGTATTTAAAAATAAATTGTAAATTTTTATGAGTCACGTATTAAATAAGTAAAATAATGTTTTAACAAACAGGAAATTTTCATTTCAATAACTAATAACTTTGCGATGTTAAAAACACACTGAAATAAGAAATATTTTATAAACAATGTATTTAAATTGTATTTCTATGTTTAAAATCATAAAAGAAGATTTAAAAAAATATTACCTCATCATAGTGGGTGTGTAATTCAATTGATGGTTTGACTTCCTTTATTTTTTCACCTCCGTGAACAGCACGAGTGTCAAATTCAAGCATGATGTCCGTTATTTCAGATAATAAATATCCACAATGTGCTAAATATCCACAATGTCTCTTAAAACAATAATAAACAACAATAATTTTTTGAAAAATTTGACAAGAAAGCACGAGTAATCTATATGATTTTGAGACAATGTCGTTGGAAGGTTTCCAAAAAAAAAAAAAACAAGATAAAATTTCAATCCTTTTAACCGATTGTTTTCGTTCGTATCTGAGTTAAAAATGAAAAAAAAAAAACATTTATCAAATATATGAATGAAAAAGGATTAATTGTCCTTAGAGTGTCATTATGCAGTTTCTTTCTTAATTTCGAAAATGCATAGCTATTTTTCAATAACAATCTATTGAATGAATTCTGAAAAAGGTGTCCATTTATAAAAGCAAAAAAATTTTATAAACATTTCTCATTGAGATCTCAAATTCAAAACGAAATAACCATATTCAAGAATAACAAATTACTTTTGCCTGATAACTATTCTCAAAGTTTATAACTATTCTTATTTGAAAGCCATAATTGAGTTTATTTTGTTCATTTTCAGCATATGCATACACCAACATCAAAGTCATAACATTAAAAATTTCATTCTTCACGTAAAATATTTTCAAAATGATAATTAGTCTTTTTTTTTCAAGGGCTTATTCACATCTTCTAATAGAACTTTTTCTTTCGGCTAAAGTAAGTCGAACATTTAGGGTTCCATATCTGAATAAAGTTGAGTGCAATTGTTGTAGCCCGTGTGGAAATACAGAGAAACTAAAATGATGTAGAAAGATTGTTGTTTTGTTTATTATTATTGTGGATACGTTCGTTAAGTGTGTTACGTTTAATTTGATGCATCCTCTTTTGTGTTCACCAGACGGAGAAAAAAATTATTTTAAATTACCAACGTACTGTATGGTAATGACATTTCTGATAATTAAAAAACGTAATTGGGTATAATATGAAAACAGCACAACTACTTCCACTTACAAGGAATAACATTTACCTTTTAGTTTAATTAGTAAACTGAGTTTTAAATATGCTTACTAAATTCATAAACTTCGGTAAAATAACAATATAAATTATTTCCAAAGGAACTAGACTAATACAATTCCAACCTGGCGAGTAGCGACTTATAACAAGACACTTCGTTTGATGCTTTTACTTGTTGCTAGAAATCAGGTTCGCAGAAAATGCTGTTTACTAGTTAAATTTAGTAGGAATAACACGATCTGTGACGTAGGCTATAGTATACCCAATTCTGGTTAATAAAACCAATGTACACGGTATTTAAGCCTTTTCATTTGGTAATTTTTCTGCTAATATGGTAACGGTTTACCGAAAATTATAATGGTTCAAAATTGTAGTTTTTACTACCATGCATTTCCTTAAAAATACAAAACTGAAAAGTAAATTTAACTGAATAAACTGTTTTTATGACTCGCTCTAATATATCATGTCTAAGATATCCAAATGGTTGGTATCCTAAATGTTGGTAAGCTATTTTAAAGTATCCTGTTGGATATTTAAGGTATTCAAATTTTATCCAATTTAGTAAATTTTATCACAGGTTATAAAAGTATATTTTATTGTTAATTTTATCAAAAGTATTACCAAAGGGAAGTTACCTATATTTTTGGTATTCCTATAGAGACAGAAGCACGTCACATTTCATTATATTCTGGTAGTTTGGACCATACTTTTTTTTCAATGTCCTGTGTGATTTTTTCATTCTTTTCGTATGCTCGCCTAATTATTTTAAAACACTCTGTACATTAAACATTTACACTATGATTGAATGAAACGCTTAAGTCATAGAGCTAAAATACGTAAATTGTAATAGATACGAAATTTTAATGGAATATCTTATTCGTTTTTTAAGTTTGCCTCTTGCATTCTAGGTTAAAAAGAGAATTTTTGTTTTTGAATTTTTAAAGAAACTTAAAAAAAAAAATGACATTGATAATGCATCCAATTTTCAACCAATGCTCATAGTTAATACCTTATCCATTATAGAAAAATTCTTTGTACCACACGTGACGCCTTAGACTAAACAATAAATACGTCAAAAACATTTTATAATTTTGTAACCTTAAATATCCTAATATCAAATTATCCGTCCACTGTGCAAATCGATAAAATCCATTTCTTAAAATATTTAATGTGTCAAAACTCGTGGATTAGTCACAGATTCATATATTTATAATTAGTTTTTAAAATTATGAAGACTAACACCTGTAAACGACAAAAAATTTATAAAAAGTTTAAATTTTTTAAAAAAATTAAGTAATAATGCACAATTTTTTCATCACATTTTCCACTTTTTGTTTTGTATAGAGCGAATCGTTATGTGCAGGAAATGAGTCAATGTGAATAGTTAAAAATAACTTTATTCATAATAATTTAAAACTTAATTTTTTTCTAATTATTTAAGCATAAATTTATTCATATTCATTAACTACGAAATTATATTTATAGCTGTCCCTCCGATGTAGCGGTACCCTTCTCTTTGACTTGTAAAAACAAATGTTTAATGATTGATAGTTATATAATTTTCTAAATCAAACTGAGAATAAAAGCAATATTCTTTCGCCCTTTTTTACAGTTTTTGAGCATTAAAATGGCTTTATTTTGTTAATTAACAAATCATAACTCCATTTCTACAAATTAGTTTCCCCAATCATTTGTCAGAAATAACAAAACAAAATAGTAACATGCATAAGTTATAACCTTTCATAATTTTTAAAAATACTTTTTTACCATTACTGCAGATTTTATGTTTTTAAGTAAAAACGAAGTATACTTTTTAGTTTTAAATTTTCGTAAGGATTTTGGTCACACGTCCAGTTAAAGAAGGACGTTACTATAAAATTTATTTCGAAGCTATTTTTACATTTTTGTTTAATTCGACAATATTGGATTTTGAGAACATTCTCCCAGTTATATAAGTTAACATTTGTATAAATTATAAAAACTTTAGGGTACGTTTAATTAGAAAACATGCGGGTAATATTAGTTCTCAATCCAAAAGCATTCATAGCTCTTTTTCAAAATTTAGATTGTTTGCATTGTAAATATAAAATCACTTGAACACAAAGTTCTTACGACTTTCTTAGCTTTTGTTAAATAAAATTTTAAACTGTTACTTTTTAATGCATTTGTTTTGAAAAGTTCTGTTTTTTTTCCCTTTAAAAGAGTAAATATGAATTAAAGAAATTCTACGTGCAGAAATTTACAAGCCGTTAAACTTCTGCAATCGTTTAAAAATTTGCGAATCTATTTATTAAATGCGCCGTTTTCAAATGAATATACAGCATTAACTCTTAGTTAACTGTATCAAAGGAAAATCAGGAATATTATGATACACAAATGGAGAAAAGGTATAATTTATGCTTCGTATAAATAAAGCGAAATAACGGGAAAAATAAAGTTACAATTACGCAAATATAAGGATTATCTTACTAATTATAACACAAAAATTGACAGACTAAAGTTTTAGTTTTGTAAACCAGAATATTTCTCAGTGTTTAAACAAAAGAAAAATTATTTTTTGTTGTTGTTGTTTTTTTTTTGTTTTTTTTGACACTGAGGAAGGTTCTTGTTTACAAAAAGTTTTTGGGCTAAAATAAGTAAAAAATTTTGCTGAGTAATGTTTTTTATTAAAAATAAGGCACATTCATACAATTCAAATTGGCAAACTTACAGCATCACTGACAAATTGGAGTACAGAAGAAAACAACATTCATTAAAATTAATTTATTTTTAGGAAAAATAATAACTTTTATCTTTATTTAGCATGAAATATCTATTGAAAATATATAAATCAAAATGAAGTTTAGATAAGTGATATTCCGAAAATGATTAAATAACAAATAAATGCAATTCATTCTTATTGGCTTAAACATAACAAAATTCTCGGTATGGATTATTGTTAATACTTGAAGAAAACAAAGGGAAAAAATGATAAGCTAAAAACAATTTTTTCATGGTTGGTCTTTAAATTCGTGTTTACTAAATGGATGGTGTATACAGAGTATCCAATAAATATCACCAGAAATGTCATCGTACACCTATAGGGGCGCTTCCCCTATTAAGAACTGTTTCTTTATGTACCTTTGAACAAATATTTTTATCTATATTAACTTAATTTTACATTTTCAATTCATGACTGTCGAAAATTGAATTCAAATAGGTACAGTGTTAGCTGATTTATCGTAATTTAGAGATTTAGGGACTAATTTGAGTAACTCACCGAATCATTAAATTACCATAAAATAGCTACTTCCTAGTCTATATAAAGCTATTTTTCGTCAATAATTATTGAAATACACAAGTATCAACATGAAATTAAGATAGTTTAGATAAATATGTGTAATGGTTCAAAGGTACGGGGAGAAAATTTGCATAATAGGAAAGCGCCGCAATGTGCGTACGTCACATTTCTCGTTAGGAGTAACTAAGCAATTCTGTATCCTTTTGATGTACCTGAACTACCTCAAAACCTCCAGAAGAAAGTCTTCACACGGGTTACCATGAGTGAGAAATCCGATCCAAACGTTGTGGCATATTTCGTATATCCCCCCCCCCCCGCGCAGTTTAGTAATCAAGACCTTGTGACATATTTATTATTTTCTTTCAAATGCACAGTTTATGTTCGTTAAGTCGGACAACTAAATTGATTCGTGCACACTGTGGACCAGAAGACCATGATCTTTGATCAAAAGACAAAAATTAAATTTTGAACTAAAATATGTGTAGGCAGTTTTAATATAGCCCAAATTAAGTATTCATAATCATTCCAAACATTATAGTTTACATTTTGGACCGACGAGAGTACAATGTAATGAAAAATATGTTAAGAAAAAAAATTTTAATGCAACTTTAAAATTTTTATTTCAGAAATATATATAGGAATTTCACCTTACTGTTGGGTACAGCTCTATCCATCCTCGGAAGTTCCTACCTGGGTTTAACCCCATAATTATCTCCCACCACCTTCCTTCGATTAACTACCCTTCTATCAGCTCAAGATCGACTGCCGCATTAAAATTTTAAGCGTGTGCGCCAGAATAGCGAAATAAAGCCAAATCTAGATGGATGAAACTGATGGCCGCCTTCTTATGAATCACTTGTAAAATAGTCGTCTTCAATGATTTGTAGTTACAAAAATTTTG